AAAAAATAACATCATTAAAATGTCCATTCTACCCAAAGTAATCTACAGGTTCTAGGCAATTCCTAGTATAATACCAATGACATATCTCACAAATCTATAACAAATATTGCAAAACTTGATATGAAACCACAACAGACTCAGCAATCTTGAGAAAGAAAAACAATGTTGGAGTTATCAGAATACCTGATATCAAACTATATTACAAGGCCACTGTAATCAAAACTGCATGGTATTGGCACAAGAACAGGCATAAAGATCAATGGGACAGAATAGATAGCACAGAAATGAACCCACATCTTTATGGTCAATTAATATTTGATAAAGGAGGCAAGAACATACAATGGAGTACAGATAGTCTCTTCGATAAATGGTGTTGAAAAAATTAGAAAGATACTGCAAAAAAATGAAACTAGACCACCAACTTACACCATACACAAATATAAACTCAAAATGGATTAAAGACTTAAATATAAGTCACAAAACCATAAAAATCCTAGAAGAAAACATAGGCAATAAAATTTCAGACATTTCTCCTATTTTTATTGATATATCTCCTTGGCCAAGAGAAAGAAAAGAAAAAATAAATAAATAAATGGGATTACATCAAACCAAAAAGTTTTGCACAGCAAAGGAAACCATCAACAAAATGAAAATACAACCTACTAATTGGGAGAACATATCTGTCAATGATATATCTGACAAGGAGTTAATATCCAAAATTTATAAAGAATTCATACTACTCAACACCAAAACTTAATCCAATTAAAAATGGGCAAAGGACTTGAATAGACACTTCTCCAAAGAAGACATACAGATGGTCAATAGACATATGATATGATGCTCAGTGTCATTAATCATCACAGAGATCCAATTAAAACCACAATATCACCTCACACCTGCCAGAATGACTATCATCAATAAGTCAACAAACAACAAGTGTTGGCGAGGATGTGGAAAAAAGGGAACACTCATGCCCATTGGTGGGAATGCAGACTGGTGCTATTGCAATGAAAAATAGTGGGATCCTCAAAAAATTAAAAATGGAACTGCCTTATGACCCAGTGATTCCACTTCTGGGTATTTATCCGAAGGAACTCAAAACAATAATTCAAAAGAATACATGCACTTCAATGTTCATTGCAGCGTTATTTACAATAGCCAAGATATAGAAGTAACCCATGTGCCCATCAATACAGGAGTGGGTAAAAAAAGATGTGAAAAATATAAACAATGGAATATTACTCAGTCATAAAAATAAATCTTACCATTTATGACAGCATGGATGGACCTAGAGGTTATTATGCTAAATGACATAAGTCAGAAGAAGACAAATACCACATGAGTTCACTTATATGTGGAATCTAAAAAACAGTATTTACAAACAAACACAATTGAAACAGACTCATAGATACAGAGAACAGACTGATGGTTGCCAGAGAGAGGTTGGGGTGGGAGACTGGGTGAAAAAGGTGAAGGAATGAAGAAGTACACATTGGCCTGGCTGGTGTGGCTCAGTGGTTGAGCATCGACCCATGCACCAGGAGGTCATGGTTCCATTCCAGGTCAAGTCACATGCCTGGGTTATGGGCTTGATCCCCAGTTGGGAGTGTGCAGGAGGCAGCCAATCAATGTTGATGTTTCTCATCAATGTTTCTATCTCTCTCCTCTCCCTTTCTTTCTAAAATCAATAAAAAAATTTAAAAATCTGTCTCTAACTTGCTTCTATTTTAAAAAAAAAAAAGTACAAATTGGCCTGGCCAGCATGGCTCTGTGGTTAAGTGTCAACCTATTGTTTTTTGTTTGTTGTTTTTTAATATGTTTTTTGAGCATCAACCTATGAACCAGGAGATCATGGTTCAATTCCCGGTCAGGGCACATGCCCAAGTTGCAGGCTCAATACCTAGTAGGAGATGTGCAGGAGGCAACCAATCAATGATTCTCTCTCATCATTGATGTTTCTATCTCTCCCTCTGCCTTCCTCTCTGAAATCAATAAAAATATATATATATTTTAAAGTAAGTACAAATTGGTAGTTACAAAATAGTCACAGAGATATAAAGTACAGCATAGGGAATATAGTAATATAATAATAGCTATGTATGATGCCAAGGTTCATACTGGAAATATTGGGGGAACACTTTGTACAGTATATGATTGTCTAACCACTATTTGGTACATCTGAAACTAATACAAAATAATATTAAATATGAACTGTAACTTAAAAATAAAATTTTTTTAAATATATATAATTGTAATCCCCGCATAAAAGAAAAAAAAAAGAATGTGGTATAAGATCAAAGAACAATGGAATTAAAAGCCCAGAACAACCCAATCTCTATATATGAAAACATGATATGTGATAGAAGTGGTAACACAAATCAGTAGGAAAGGATGGATTATTTATCAAATAGAGCTGGAAAATTGCATGCTCTATGAAAAACAATAAACTTGGTTCCTTACCTCATATAGTCTCCAGATGTAGATTCGAGATCAATTAAAAGCCAAAACATGAAATGCAAAATTAAAATACAAAGCTAATAAAAGGTTAGAAAGGAGAATATCTTCATGATCTTGAGAAAGAGTACGATCTCTCATGCAATATTCTCAAAGAACAAACCTAAAGGAGGAAAACTGACAACTGTTACAATAATAAAATTAAAAATCCCTGTTGCCGAAACCGGTTTGGCTCAGTGGATAGAGCGTCGGCCTGCGGACTGAAAGGTCCCAGGTTCGATTCCGGTTAAGGACATGTACCTGGGTT